GTAGCTAGGTCGAGGATATGTTGAACAAGTACTGATTCCTCTAGCTCGGTCATTTTCCGTGAATTGGCTAAAATATCGCGTCGTGAAGGTATACCAAGCAAACGTCGACCTAGCTTCCGGTGGTCTACAGAATAGGTCCTGGCAGCAGCTCGAGCACGTAAATTTGGGTCTTTTTGCATAGCTTGGATAGCTAAGACTAACCGGCTTTCGTCATTTTTCAGAGGCATCCTTCGTTGTAGAGAAATTTAATATTTCGTGGAGGTGTGGTGGGGTCGCCGGGTTTTGGCCGGTTCGCTTGTTTGGCCGGTTCGCTATACATGCAAGTTAGGTAGTGTTTGATAGATATTTTAAAAGCTGTTATTTTTTAGTATTGTTGCCACCTAATGCGCACGGATTCTACAAAATTCGGCAAATTCACGGATTGAAGCTTATATCGAATTCGGCTGTATAAAATCAAGGACAGAGGCGCAAATAACGTACTAAAAGCTCGGACCACTAATTAAGCGAGTTGGGGGGGGGGCTCGAAATATCGGACGCCCTGGCGTCGATTCACAGCGTCCCCTTGTATCCCGACATCCTAGAACAAAGATAAGCTAGTAAACTACAAAAGCCAAGAAATGAAAATAAGTGTTTTTTTCTGAGAAATACCATACAGTAAACATAGTGAATAAATTCCTATCGGCAGGAAACGGAGAGCAATATATGGGCTCATCCTTGTTAACCTCATTGTTTTTGAGGACACCCCACTAAGTTATTATAATCAAGCTCGCTTGCAATTTCATCGCCAACCTCAAAGCGAAGCTTCATTTCCTCTTCCTCCTCATCATTTTTTCTCTCCCTCCATCTGGTTCTCATTAAGATAATTCAAACTTTCATCCTGATCTTTTCCATCTTCGTCTGGGAACGGCACAAATATACGCCTTCGTGCACTGGCGTAAGCAGCTTCTCGTTCTTCCTTCGATGGCCTATTAACAATCAGTTACATAAAACATTCGCAACTAAAAGAAGATGATTACTTTTCGTCAGCTGACAGACCGATGGTATTTTCTGCCGATGGGGTTTCATGGGAAAGCTGTCCTTGCGGAGTTCTTTTCATAGAAGAAGACTGAGACCCTTGTGGGGAGGTCTTTACATAGGGCCGGTCAAATGAATCCGAAGAACTGTGATAAGTACTCTCCTCTGCTGAATCATCGGTTTCTTCCCCTGGCCCTTCACCTTTGTCGAGACTTTCATCTGTGCTTTCCAGTCGATGATTGATGTCGGTGCTCTCAGCCTTTTCGTTTTTCTTACTTGCGGGGTTCTCATATGTTGCGAGATAAGAACGGGAAACAGTTCAATTTGTCAAGGTAAGGTACAGGTGGGTATCAATAGCAGTGGTTTATAGTGAATGAGGAAGTGCGGGGGATATATTATATTTCCCCTCGTACAGCCAACTCCTCCAACACCACAACATTATCGTCAGTCACACTATTGGAGCTCTTATTGTACAGTATTTGCATCCGCATCCTCAACAATACTTTTGCCTTCTGATTGGTCCGTATGTGGCTGAAGTATAAGCGTTTGAAGCTAGCCAGCAAATACAAAATAAAACCAACAATAAGACTCTCATCTGACGTGTGACGAATGGACGATAAAATACCATGAAATTACGCTAGTGCTAGTGGTTAGTGAGTGAATATCAAATATCCTGCAACATCATACATCGCAGGCGCCGCAGCACCACCTGCAAGGGATGCTGATAAGAGGCTTCCTCGCGGGGGCTTCTTCTCTTTGAGTCTGCTCAGATCAGGCCCTAGAAGAGGACAGAAGCCCATTCGGGGTCTTTGGATTCACCTATAACATTATGCCATATACGCATAGTTATTACCAAGTCAGGTTCAACGGTTCTCTCCCAAACTTGAGGAAGAATGATTTCTCCACTTGGTCCTATCAGATCATAGTGACCCTCAAGTACATGCGGCCCAATGACTTCCATGTGAAGGAAAGCTTGATTGATTAATTCCTCCATGCCCTTAAACATATTAGCTAATTTTGTTACCGAAAGATAATATATGACTTACTGCCCACGTCCTACACAGATGAAATGGAAATGAGAATTTTCGGCCAACGGCATCCTCAAATCTGATTTTTTTTCATTTGTTCAGATATGTCTTCAGGCGTCTTTTCAGTAATTGAATGATCTGCTGTTTCTGGGCTGTTCTGATTGGCTTCAGGAAACATTCTTTCTCTAGCGTTTTCATCTAAGGACTTCGCGTAAGCATCTTGACTGGCTATGTTATATTTCAATAGGTTGAAACTACTCACCTAAATATACTATTGCGTGTTCTTTCCTAAGGTGTAAGCGTAATGCTTCTTGTGTTATCAACACATAGCCACACTCAGGGCAAGCGTCTGTCTGTTCTCGGTGTGCTCGGCGAGCATGCCTAACGAGATCCGGTCTACGACTAAAAAAACGAGCGCAATGAGGGCAGGGTATTGGTTCTTGTACGTGTGTTTGTATTTTCTCAATTTTGTGCTTGAGGGAGGTCTGCTGGCTTGAACCTGGAACTGCCGATGATTCTTGTTGAAATGGCAAGTATTCTTCATCACTGTCCTCTTTCGCAAAGCTGGCGTTTTCGGCCGCCAAGCGGGGGGATCGGGTACGAAATGCTTCACCCTCCTCTGAAGAAGCATCTTCAATGGAATCATCGTTATAATTTTGCTCCGGCTCTAAATCAGCTGCCGAATTTGGGGACGAGATGGTAGAAGACGTAGGAGCTGGAGACCCAGCCAATTCATATTGCTCTATCTCTTGTAGAGAAGAATCGGTAACGGAGCTTTTTGGAAACCTAGGACTTGAGGAGTCAATTGGGCTTCGAGGAGGGAATGCCAAGACCTCTTCTATAGTCGGTCCTTCTGCCGCTCTTTCCAATTCCACCTCAGCGTTATCGAGTTCACCTTTCGCAAGTCCAGCTGCCATAACATCGGCTCCATTTTCAAGTAGTAATTTGACAACATGCTGATGCCCTCGAGCGGAGGCTGCTTCTAAAGCATTTCCATAGATTTCACTCCCCTGGTTGATGGCTCCGTATTCAAGTAGTAACTTGACCATATGCTCGTGCCCCTGAGAAGCTGCTGCTTTGAGAGCACTTCCATAGCTTCCATCCACCTGGTTGATGTTGGCTCCGTTTTTAAGTAGTAACTTGACCATATTCTCGTGCCCCTGAAAAGCGGCCGCTTTGAGAGCACTTCCATAGCTTCCATCCACCTGGTTGATGTCGGGTCCGTTTTCAAGTGGTAACTTAACAATATGCTCATGCCCCTTAAGAGCCGCCGATGCGAGGGAATCGGTCGCACTCTTCGAGCTAACAACGCCTCCATTGTCACCTACCAATCCGACAACATTCTCAGGCAACACGGAGCTATCTTTGAGAGGAGTACCATATACACCAGTGATATCTTCTGCCTGCTTATCATATGGAGATATATCAGGGTATTGACCAGATCCCGCTTTCTCGTCATCAGAGGAGATATCAGGATACCGTATAGGTTTTTTCTCGTCTTCTTGTGGAGATACGTCAGGGTAAAGAGATGTTTCAGCGGCACCCCCCTTCACGACTCTCAACTTCCTCGAGTTCGACTGTTTCCTTCAGCTTACTCTCCTGGTACCACTTGTCCAAGTATGCGGCGTATTCAGCTGTAGCAACTTCAAGCTCAGCCTTCTTTTGCGGTATGTATTCTTCAACACCCATCGAACTCCTACCCCCCAACACACCCGTCATAACTGACATTTCGAGCTCGGAAATTTTGTTTGAGAGATTCATTTTTTTATGATCTAGTTCGATAAGGTGTTGATCTGAATATCAATTAGCATGGGTTCCTCGCTATATATGTAGAGAGTGGTTGACCTTCGATATTAGTATTGCGAATAAATTCTCGCATACGACCCCTTGAAGTTTCTCTCAAGACTGGTATTCCCGCTCCCTGTTCTCCTGATGATGTCTTCATATATCGCGGTTCTAGATGTGACTAATCGGGAACTCCCCTAACTTGAGCCCACATATATTTCTCCAACTTATTGGCACTCTTAGCGTAGGGTGTCGTTTCGTTGTTGTACTTGCGACAATTGTCGAAAATTAGCATCGCATCTCGAAAAAAGGGCTCAGGCGTTGCATAATTCTTCGCCGCAAGCCTTTTCTCCATAATGCCAAGGTCCATGGGCTCTTGGATCACATCATAATAATCTGGCACTTCGTCCTTGCTGATCCACCAAAACGGCCAGCTTCATGGATGTTTTTGCATCGCTTCGAGTAGATTTGCAAGACGAGTACGGTCATCCGACGGCGGTGCCCAATCTTCGGTAACTTTTGCCTCAAGTGTGGCAGTACAAGCACTTGCAGATTTGCTTTCGACATCATCTTCCTCTTCACCTGAAGATTTGGTCTTCCATTTCGTCGCCATCATTTTTCGGAAGAGCGAACAGAGCTAGTTGCTCCATATGACGACCAAGATGCCTCCGAAACTGTTTCAACGTGCCATTTGGCTCCACGGTCCTTCCATCGTGGAGGAATAACCTTTTCGAGTCTTTCTCAGGCCCTTGCATGTTTTCTCCCCATTCATGGCGCACAGAAAACAGCTCATCAAGTTCGGATGTTCGCACCACTTCTTCCGAAGCCTGGCTATTCGTTTCATCGTCTGACTCGGAGTCGCTAAATGACCCAACTTTCCATGTGTCGTTAGGCTCATCGCCAGATATAATTGGTAAAGCTATCAAGGTGTCAACAAGGAAACAATTTATAGATAGCATGCGGAAATGTTCCAGTGGAAGGAAGAGTTTGTGATAATTCAATCCTCTTAGAGAACTGATTGGAAAGGGTTCACAGACCCTCACTTAAAGAATCTAGGAGTTCTTGAAGAATTGTCACGATTCTTTCTCGAATTCCAGCGGCTTCTTTCAACCGATAATCGAGGGAGGTGCGAAGCCTCGATGACTGAAATGCCGCAATATTCTGGGCCCATGCTTTGAACTTCGATCGAGATTCTTGTAAGGAAACAATTAATCCATCCCGGTCAAACTTGTTTTCCGTCGCATGGTCGTGAGTAGATGGTAGTAAAGCATCTTGCGTTTTCTCATATGCGTTAAGGCAGTTCTTATATAGGTCAGATATTTCAGGAGCAGCTTTCGTGTCGGGCACGGAGGTTGGTGCTGAAGACAATCGGTTCATCGAACTCAGATTCTGATCCGACTGGTCCACCGGTGTGGCCATTTCGAGTACATAGGTAAAGATTTGCGTGCTATTCCCGGGTGTATCATTTGTATGTGAGCCTCCAAGGCTGTTGTTGTCAGATCTGGCTACATTATGGCCCCCAACACCCCCGCACCGTGAACTGGAAAAGCAGCACTCTTAAACAATATGCCCGTATGCTCTGCCTGTGGAATATTCGCCCAACTACTACCACCATACCTGAGCAACCAGCTTCTGCTTTCCAAGACTTGAGCCTGTGTGTAAACTGCCTACTACCACTACTGCAATAGTCGGGAAAAGATTGTAGTGCCGCTGATTCTCGCGCTCTCTCTTGTATTAAAATTCTCAGCCTCATAGAAATCGCTACGGTTACCAACAACGACAGGCCTTCGAAAGGTTAGGAATGTTGCAATACTGTTGCAATGTCTGGCATTGAGATCGCGGGATTGGCCCTAGGCGCGTTTCCATTGCTGATAAGCGCTGCCGAACACTACAGAGAAGGCTTTGAGCCGTTGCGCCGCTGGAAAAGATTTCGATCCGAGTTTCTCATGTTCATCAATGCCGTGGACATTGAGAAGAACATTTTCGACGCAACATTGGAGGAATTTCTGATTTCCGCAGATGTTCCTCACGAAGAGTTGCAGCTGTTCATGACAGATCCGAACTACGTTGGGTGGCACTCCGAGGACTTGGTCGAGGTGCTAAGATCGCGGCTTGGTCCCTCGTACTTGGTCTTCATGAGCACTATCAAAACTCTCAATGAAACAATGGTTGATCTACAAGATATGCTTTTGCTAAAAAATGGAGAAGTGGGTTTTTCAAGTGGATATGGGAACATACATGTGCTAAATAGTCGTTGAAAACAGGTGGACTGGCTAGAGATGGTGCAAGTAAATGGGACTACCAATTTAAACGAATATCCCATAGCTTCAGCAACGAGGGAAAAAAGAAAGTCAAAAGCTTAGAGTCAACCAATCGAAAACTGCGAGAACTACTCACGGTCAAGGAGAAGCTGCAAACGGGGAGGGGTACGAGAACAAGGGAAGAAATTAAGTGGGGAAACATTTTCGAATGTATTCGACGCCACGCGAGCAGTGTTCATATGGCACTTCGGAAAGGCTGGAATTGCAGCTGTGAAATATCTCACAACACAGCACTACGGCTTGAACGGCGTCATGATGGCGGATAGAACTCTGAGTTCAATATGGCATTTGATATACAGAAGGATCATGTTAAGCCTCTGATTATACGTCGGGAAGTGTTGATTCGGACTAGAAAAGAGGACGTGAAAGTTGATGTGCCATCGATGGCACCAGGAGTTTCTGGGTTACAACAAGATCTCAACCAACTGCGACGAGATTTTGAGTCTAAATCTTCGCCACAAGTCAATGTTTGGCCACGTCCTCAATTGAAATCGACAATATCTGAAACACCATCGTCCATATCGTCCCACGGGAGTCTCCGGAGTATATTCTCTAGAAATAGTTCTATCAGCAGCTCTACAACCATCTCTACTTCTAATGGCACTGAAGTACTCCTTGCTGATACAGTATCAAGGTATGATTGAGCCAGGCTTCCAGATGGTAACCAACAATTCTAATACGGTTCAGTAAACTCCGACTTCCACATAGAAGTAAGCCCAAGAAGTCAGTGGGCTTCCGAGTTGAGACGCAACAGGTCACCTTAGTTCCAAAGCCTGAACCATGCCAACCACAACCAATACAACCACAAGTTACGACTGAGATCAAAGACTTGTGTTCTGCATTACAGTCTCCAAACACGACTACTTCATGTTTTGGATATCTGTGTGATGATGAAGATCACCATCATGAAATCATCCAACTTGGCGATAAACCTCAAGGGATGAATGAAATGAAGTCGGTCAGCCTCGAACAGCTATTAGGAAGCAGAAAGCTGAATCGCCGACAACGGTACATCATTGCGACTATACTTGCCTCTTCCTTACTCCAACTTGGAACAACCCCTTGGATGACTCAAAAGATGGAAAAACGAAGCATCTTTTTCGATCAAACCGAATCGAACGTTGACCTAGAACACCCGTACATCCGACATTCATTCCTCTCTTCCAAGAAACATAACGCGGCCCAAGAAAATAACAATGATCCACCAGTCACCCGATTTGCTGCAAGAAATAGCCTTGCAAATCTAGGCATTCTACTCGAACTCTGCTTTTATCAGCCCGTAGAGAGCTATGCTTCATGGAGCGATCATCTTGTAAATGGTACTCCTCACAGTGCAATAGATTATATGACGGCTCGCGACTGGGTTGATTCCGTCGGTGGGCAGGAACCAGAACTAGAGCCCATCATAAGATGCTGCGTGTCGTGCAGTTTCGAAGGAACCGCGGATTGGGAGAACAAGAATTTCGTCCGGGCTGTTTATAGCAGTGTAATAGCACCACTTGAGAAAGTCATTGCTAGTCGGACTGTATCTTGAGTTTGTCAAGCCATGAGGGATTGTATCGTCATTGACCTGGGGTAACTATAGCAGTCACAACCCACGTGGAGTTGACATCTATTTGAATACATGGGAGCCAGTTCATCAGAGCAAAGGAGAAGGGAAACGATGGAGGATTGAAATATCCGGGCCAAGAACTTGAAGATGAAGAAGGTTGGGGAGGAAGTAAAGGAGCCGTTATTAGTGAAGAATAGGAAGATTCCACATGGTTTATAGCAATTTTACTAATGATCACACATATACCTTTTCACTTTTACTACAGTTTGTGATCTTCGAACCGACTTTGCAACTCTACAAATAGACGGCGCGATACTTTTGATATTAGATATAACTTGCTACGAAATACAAACTAGTAAGTAAACGCTTAGTAATTAGCTATGAGGTCCTTTTCTTAGTTAGAAAGGCACTAGGTGATATAGAACGCTAAGAGATTACCTTTAGCCTTTAGCGGTTATAGAAAATCCTTAATATTTACTTGTACTACTATTATATAGTAAGAAAATGTTACGACATACACGACCCATTTTGTTTGTATCACGTGATTCCACTCTCGTTCTAAGTATCTTTACTACTCGAACGATTCTACTCCTTTAGTATCAAATAATTAATTAATTACTAAATATTAGTAATCTTTATCTCTAAATTTAATAACAGTTTATCTAGCAGGGTTTATCTACTAGTTTCGATATATAGGTCTAGTAGCTATTTAAAGTACTTATTATTAAATAGTTATAAAGTCCTATAATCTAACCTTACCGCTAGTTATATTATACTTCTACTCTAATAATAACTCTAAAGTATTATTCCTTCCTTAAATGAAAAGGGGGGGTTTTATAACTATTTTAGGATTATTCTAGGATTATTTAAGTATTAAATAGTCTAAAAAAGAGGGAGTAATTATAGTAGATTCTCGTCTTTATATAAGACCTCGTATATATAATAGAATAAGTAGTGAAATAAAGAGTAGGATAAGTAGTAGAATAAGTAATAAAATAAGTAATAAAATAAATAGTAGAATAAGTAGTAGAATACGTGGTAGAATAAGTGCTTATAAAAAATTCCATCTAAACAATATTAAATCCAAATCATCTAAAACAAGACTCCGAGTTACACTCATCAGATTTTAGCGACTTTTGTAAATCCCAGGGTATAGTACGCTACAGCAGAATACAATTCCCCCCAAATTTCGCCGCACAGGCTATAAAACAAGACTCCGACAGAGAAACGATAGATACCTTCTTATGTTAATAAGCATTGTCCCAACTCGTCTGCAAAATGCTTATTTCTACTCCAGATATAGCCCCAGAGTCATGGCTAGTCTACCCACTCCGACTTATACTTCGTACGAATCAGGTTTTACTCATAGTAAGTTTTATGAATCCCAGGATACGCTACAGTACCGAAGAATCCAATTCACCTTAATTCAAGTTTTTAGTTGAACAGGCCGTACTCTATTACACTGGAAAGACTCACTGTCATCCCACTAGATTTTAAAGTTTTTAATGCATGGGATGAAGTACTATATATTTAAGCCAAACAGACTAGGAATCCAAATCATGCCGAGAAGAGCGAGAAAAGCGAGAAAAGCGGGCTTCATCTGTTATATATAAGGGACGATCTTTTGAATCCCCCCAAAAAGAAGATCCATCTATAACCTACATCATAGTCCAATCTCACACACCTACCACCAGTCCAACATCCCAACATCCCAACGACCAAGAGAGAAGCATCATCTACCTACCTCTTCGTCCAATCTCCTAATTATTTTATTCTTCTCGAACAATATACTACCACGCCTACTACACCAACAACCCCACTCAAGCATCCAATCCACAAACTCACCTACTCAACAACATGTTCTCCAAGCACACCATCACAATCCTTACAGTCTTCCTCGTAGGAGCTATACAAGTCCAGGCGATACTAAACTGCAACGAAGCATCCATGCACAGTGGCTGTAAGAATGGAAGGATAGAATGTGGTCCAGGTCCGACTGGTGGTTACAACATTCTATGCTGTAACCAATGTTAGAGGGTACGGGTACACTGGGTTTGGAGGGAAACTCTGATTGGGAGGAGAGGAGTTGGATGGGGATTGTGTAGAAAGAAAAAGTTGTGCGGCTGCTGGTTGGCTTGTTGGTTGGAAAGATATCGACTGTACTGTTGCTACTCGAGTAATACCCAACACTTCCAACTCCCAAGTCTTACCGCGTTCCGTCTGATCAAAAAGCTTGAGACCCAGACGACAAGTAGATAGATAGATAGACAGAGTGAAAATGCTTCATTCAGATTCTATACATAAATCCCCCAATCCCAATCCCGCAGTTCCCCAGTTCCCCAATCCCTCATAGAGCAGAGTCAATCATATCCCTCTTCTCTTCATCACATCCCTTCCTCTATTAACCTTCTGAGCCTCGTACCCTCTTACCACCAACCCCACCCCCTACCCGCCTCATCCCATTCCATCCTGCCCTCATCTCAAACCAGTCCAACCCAACCTTCCATATCATCTCAACCATCAAAAGAGATTCTCTTTATAAAAAACGCCAAAGCTAAATACATAAGTCTTGGTATCATCAATCAATCAATCTCTCACTCATCATCAAAACTCCCTCGCACCGCCACTTCCCCCCATAGCTCTCGCACCCCACATCCCAACCAATCCCCACATACCCACTCTCCAACCCCTCCACAACCCCTCGAAACCCTGTCCTTTCCTCGGAGCCTTCTTGTTCTTCCTAGTCACTCGGATTGCAGGTACAACTTCAGGTTCGGGTTCAGATCCGCCTTCTTCGTAGACTATGGACCACATGGTGCCGAATACACCGGTGTAAGGTCCTGGTTCGACGACAGTTTCGAGGGCTTTGCCATCTTCTGTGATGTGCAGTGGAGAAGCTAGGACCGAGATTTGGCCTCTGCGTAGCACGGTCTCTAGAGGGAGTTTGAGGAAGAGTTCGACGGTTTTGGAGAGGAAATTTGCCATGCTGTATGTGGCAGGTGTGAGAACGGGATCGATTCCGAGGTGGGAGCGGAGGAGTAAGGGTGTGGAGTGGTTGATTGTTGGGGTGACAAGACTATGTAAAACAGTGGGTATCATCAAGGTTGCCGGGCAAATGTATGAGGGGAGATTTCGTAAGTTGTGTGAAAGGGAACGTTTTGGAGTAGAAACTGGTGTTACAACGAGTCTGATAGATAATGTTAGTTTTGGCATATCCTCTTTTTTGCAGAATAGAACTTACTTTGTTCTGACCAAATCAAGTGGAGCGAGAACAAGTCCAGTGCTGACGGCAGCAGCAACTGCGACTGCTAGAGATGCCCAAGGGTATGGGGAATCTGCTAAACTTGCGGAAACATTCAATCCCGTTTCAGGGACGTTGAACATCGCGGAAAACAGTCCCCTTGACCATTGCTCTATAGTCTGCAGTAACAATGAATGTATAAATGTGGCATTTGATGCTTTCCACACTCCCCACGACCCTTCTTTTGACCATTCTTGTGATATGACCTCTAGCAACGAGTCTGCTCTTTTCAATGATAGTTGATGGGTAGCGGTAGTAGGTCTGCTTGCCGTGGACGGCCTACTTGGAGTTGCAGAAGAATCTTCTGTTGTACTGGAATGTCGTCTTCGCCGGGAGGCGGGAGTGGGAGTGGGTTGTGGGGGTACGTTTGTGGTGAAATATGCCGGCTCATCTCCCTCGGAATCGTCTGAGGGATACTGAATTATATGTTAGTGGGGATTTTATATAGAAAAGTTGAACGACCATACATCAGCGTTCCATACATCGGCGTCTGATGAAGGTCGAAATCCCGCAGGATTTGTCTTCAGCTCTTCTACCACCGGTTTTGGTTTCGGCACATCCAGCAGGCCCTGACTCTTGACTTGCAAAAGGGTTTTGGCGACGTCAAAAGGCTGGGATAAGAGAATGCTAAAGTATTTGTGCATCCAGTCGTCGAGAGTCCTCCGGCCAGCTTCTATGACTGAGGGCGAGGTATCCGGCAGATAGTCGCCATAGTCGAACATATCTCGCGCAGCTGACGAGGCATAGGCCGCTGCACTGCCATTTTTCGGACCCAGTCCATGCGTTCCAGCACTCGTGGTTCCTGGGATATCTTGAGGAATCCCGATGGAGGAGGGTTTGTAGTAAGGCCTCAGAGGATTTGGGGTAAAGGTATCGCGAGAGGTTGCCATGGTCGTCTGTGTTACATTGAAAGAATGTGTTGCAAAGACTTTTCAGGCGTTGATGGTGGTGTTGCCAAGAGTTTGTGATGTGATGGTATTGACAGTGCAGTGCCCTGATAGTGGCAGTGGCAGTAGTGGCAGCGGAGTGAATGCTGTCAACTCCAACCCTGACCCAGATCTTTGCAGGGATTCTCTCTCCCACTTTGGTGCATGCTAAGGCGGACCAATCAGAGCTTGCCTTTCAGAAGTTTATCATTGCTTGATATCATTTTTATGTGCCGCCAACCGACATCGCAAAGTCACAGTGTCGCATCTCACTCTCACCATTTGCAGCAGAACCAAACTTCACAAGCATTGCAACTGTTGGTAGAGAGCCATTGGATATGGCCCCTTTCCGCTGAGGAGAAGTGAATCCAGTCTTTCGCTTCTGTACCTTTTTTCTCTCCCTCAGTCTTCTTCATCGTCCTCATAAGGCCGCACACACCCCTCCTGAACTTCCAACCGACTTCACTTCTCCACCTCAACCAGCAACACCTTCATCCCTCCAAGCATCTTGCTGAGCCAACAAGATGTTCGCAATTAGAAACTCAAAGAGCTTCATCACTCACGCAATTGCTAGAAGAACCCCCACCAATCTCATCAACCTGTCTACAAGAGCATCATTCGCCGCTGCCACCAGATCGGTCTCCTTCAAAGCTCACACACTACCCCGCCAAATCCCTAACAACACCACCCACAATGCGCATGTGCCAGCAGCTGTCCGATCTTTCTCTGCCACTTCTGCGACCAAGCATACCCACCTTGCCCCCCCACCAAAGGGCGAAGAGTAAGCAGAGCAATCTGAGATCGCAAACTAAAACCATCTACTGACCCAACTACAGGGTGTACATCACTTTCGTAAAGGACGGCGATGAGGATTTCAAAGTTCCATGTGCTGTTGGCGACAACATTCTACACATTGCGCAAACTCACGATGTTGAGATGGAGGGTACGCATCATGTTAATTTGGCAATGTCAGGTTGAAGCTAATACAATATTAGGGGCTTGCGAAGGATCGTGCGCTTGCTCTACATGCCATATTATCATCGAGGATGAAAAGATGTACGACAAAATCCCCGAGGCCGACGACGATGAGAACGACATGTTGGATCTCGCCTTTGGCTTGAAGGAGACCTCACGTTTGGGCTGCCAAATCGTTATGACTCGCGAACTCGACGGCCTTCGTGTCAAGCTGCCAAATGCTACGAGAAACATGCAAGCTCAAAACTTCAAATAAGAGATGGTTGTCAATAACATCCTGCTAGCAGGGAATTTTCAATGCATTTCAGCGTTTGCGAGGGTTGGTTTTTTAACGGGAAAGCATATAGCTCGGCGCAAACTTGGAGGATTTTTGATGACTTGCTCGTTTACTATGCAGAATGCTCTGCGGACATTTCAAAGTCCAATCTGTAAAATATCACCTGGCGTCTGGGATTTTCTAGAGGTTCGTCTGAAGCTATTGGCAGCAGATATTTGTGCTATTAGACCAGACAGTCATTATTTCTCACCACTCCAGGAAAATACAAAATTCAAAATTCAACAGGAACTCTGTTTGTTCATGCTTCCTCTACCCCGCCTGCCTTGAGACCCCCACCCCCACCGGCAATTAACTCCAGGAATCCCTGTTTGCTCATCTCATTGATTTTCTCTTCCCTCCTTCCATGGCCGACGAGTCCTTTGACTCGAGCTTCCCTTGCAGCCTCCTCTCCTTTAACTTGCGCCGCTCTCACCGCGTTAAAAAGTTTTACAACACCTCTCTGCGCCGTTTTCCGTAGTCGTTTCTCCAATTCCATTGTCTGCTGTACACTTGGCTGTGCTCCCATATCTCCATAACCATTCGCAGCATCAAATGCGGTACTCGCTCCCAAGACATCCTTCACTCTGCCCTTTTCCAAAGCAAGTCGCTTGTCATCCTTCATCTTATTTCGCGCCTTCTTCTCCAATGCCTGGTCCGTAATTTCTTTACTCGTTTCAATTGCAGCCACACTCCTCGACAGAACAGGATCGGCGCGTTTACTCGTCGCAAGTTTCGAACCAAGAATCTTCGACATGGACGTTGCGAATGCTTCTGGGTCATTTCGTTTGCGCTTCCGTATTAAATTAGGGTTGGAATTGGTATCTGAATCGTCGTCCTCATCATCCTCGGAATCTGAATTCGACGCATCTGTGATTTCTTCATCTGCCAATTCTCCAACCGTAGCCTCCTCTTCTACATCCGAGACCTCCCCCGCGATCAGATCTGCTGTGTCGAGCTCCTCATTATCGGAATCTTGTAAATTGACAGCTTTGAATTCTTCTTGTGGTGGTGCATTCGCCTCGTCTTCTGATGAATCGCTGTGGTAATCGGTCTGCTTCTTGAATTTCTTGACGGTTCTTTTTGGTTTCCCCTTCATCCCATCTTCGACCTTTCGTTTCTTGGAGTATCCGCCTGCCATTGTGTTTTGCGATTGTGGTTTCGTGGAGTGGTGTGGATCTCACAATCTTATCAGAAAGCTAGAAAATTTAGGGGTCTCGGGGGTGAGTTCTTCCGCTCCGCGGCGCTAAACCCCGCGTCAACCCCATCCCACATCAGTTTTGGCCACCAAGCTGTACTCTATCACCCTACACCTTCTTTTTCACTACACAACACATCATGGTTCTTCAAGATCTGGGACGGCGCATCAATGCGGCCGTCAGTGACCTCACGAGGTCAAGTAATCTCGATGAAAAGGTTGGTTTTACTAGCAATTGAAATACACCGCATTACTAACACATTGCAGGCCTTTGACGGTATGATCAAGGAGATCTGTTCGGCGCTCCTCGAAGCCGATGTCAACGTTCGTCTTGTCGGAAATCTGCGAAAGTCAATTAAGTCCTCGGTCAACTTCAAGGAGCTTTCCCCTGCAGTAAACAAAAAGCGACTCATCCAGAAAGCCGTATACGATGAACTGGTCAAGCTGGTAGATCCTCATGCCGAACCATTTAAACCAAAGAAAGGGAAGCCAAATGTTATCATGTTTGTTGGTTTACAGGGAGCTGGAAAAACGACGACATGTACGAAGTTGGCTAGACATTATCAGTCCCGAGGGTTCAAGGCTTGTTTGGTTTGCGCGGATACCTTCCGTGCTGGTGCTTTCGATCAATTGAAACAAAATGCTACCAAGGCCAAGATTCCATATTATGGTTCTCTTACTCAAACAGATCCAGCGGTGGTAGCCAAGGAGGGTGTGGAAAAGTTTAAAAAGGAGAAGTTTGATATTATTATCGTTGATACCAGTGGAAGACATCGACAAGAAGATGCCCTTTTTCAAGAGATGGTGGATATTCAGACAGCTGTGAAGCCGGATCTAACTATCATGGTCTTGGATGCTAGTATTGGACAACAAGCGGAGGCGCAGAGTAAAGCTTTTAAAGAGACTGCCGATTTCGGTGCTATTATCATCACCAAAACTGATGGACATGCAAGTGGAGGTGGTGCTATTTCGGCCGTCGCTGCTACACATACTCCAATCGTCTTTATTGGTACTGGAGAACACATGCTCGACTTAGAGAAATTCGCTCCCCAGCAATTTGTATCGAAGCTTCTTGGAATGGGAGATATGCAAGGTTTAGTAGAACACGTTCAATCGTTGAAATTGGATCAAAAAGATACCATGAAGCACATCGCCGAAGGAGTCTTCACTGTCCGAGATCTCCGCGATCAATTGTCCAATATCATGAAAATGGGACCTCTGTCGAAGATGGCCGGTATGATCCCAGGTATGAGTGGGATGATGCAGGGCATGGACGACGAAGAAGGTTCCATGAAACTGAAGCGCATGATTTACATCTGTGATTCCATGACTGCCAAAGAACTCGACAGCGATGGAAAGATGTTCATCGATCAACCCACCCGTATGACCCGAATCGCATGCGGAAGCGGTACCAGCGTGAGAGAAGTCGAGGATCTCCTCACACAACACAAGATGATGGCAGGCATGGCCAAGAAAATGGGTGGCAACATGAAGAACCTTCAGAAAGCCCAGGGTGCAATGGGTGGTGGCAATAAACAGCAGCAGATGGCTGCGATGCAGAAGCGACTCGCTAGTATGGGTGGTGCTGGGGGTGGTGGCATGCCTGATATGGGGAGCTTGATGAAGATGTTTGGTGGTGGTGGTGGTGGGGCGGGGGGTATGCCTGGGGGTATGGATATGCAGGCTATGATGAAGCAGATGGGCGGTATGATGGGGGGCATGCCTGGGATGGGTGGTGCTGGGGCGGGAAGAGGGAGGAGGTAGGATGGGAGAGCTGAGTAGATAGATAGGGGTGAGGTGGTACTTGGGCTTGTCTCTTGACTTGGGTTTGGATGCGTATAGCGAGGTGTTTTGGAGTTCGATTTGTAGGTAGGTAGGTAGGTACGTGAAGACATCATGCTTTTGCACGATGGTCTGTTGTTTTTGGTATAAAATCGGAGTATGTTTATCCTGTCTCCTTAGTTCTATGTATTATCTGATACTGGCGTACTGCACAGTCTCCCAAGCCCCAAGCTACGCCTCCCATCCACTCTTCATCTTCGCAGTCATGGCAGTAAGAAACATATTTTATTTCCTTCTCGTCATACGATGGGACTGGTGCTAATTCACTCGTCGCAGTCAAAGAATCCTATGAATCCAAATCAAATGTTCACCCTGTTTCCTGAATTGGCTCTCGAACTTCGATGGAAGATTTGGGAATGTACTTTCACGCCGCGTAAATTTGGCTTCCAAGAATATGAGGATTGGGAGCTCGTTCCAAAATGTTCTCCGAATACGCCGGATTTTATAGTCCGTGATACTTTGGATAATCATCGACACCTTGACCTTCCTGTGGCTCTGTGGGTTACCCAAGAGTCAAGGGATTTCACACTCAGAAACTACCAGCCCATACTTGGGAAGTTGCTCCAAACGAACTCATTCTATTTCAACTTCGCTATAGATACTCTCGAGTTTTATTCTGAATTCGGAACGATCGCTTGTATGTGCTATCTTGACAAAGACCCACAATGCTCTGCTGAAATCCAGGAACTATTGTCGAAGCTACAATTTGTTTCATTTGAAAACAGTGCGGAGGATAAAGTGTGGCATACATATGTGATGAGGTTCCACAATTTGAAGGAGATCAGTGTATACACTGCCTATTCATTCCTCGTTCTTGATTCATGGAAGCATTTCATCCAATTCAGAACCGCAGAGAATATCACAACTCTTGAGCAATTGCAGTCCAGGTCTGTCGCTCGCAACCAAAGACACTTCAAGGCTCCTGTAATCAACGTATTGAACTATGATCTGAGCCAACCTAAGACTACTGGACGCACATACTATTCTACTTGTGTGAACTTACCGATCATGGAGGTTACTGGACCAATCAACAATGAGCAACATCAGGCTCAGTTTAGCAGCTTGATTGGTAATGGATATGAAGCGGTGGTGCCTGAGTGGGTTAGCTCAGATGCTGATCATTCCCATCTTGCAATCTGGAGCCCTGATGAGGAATAGACGACAGAAAAATACGACGGGGAGTTATCAGTTATCGCAATTGATGGTGAGTTCAATGAATCTATTGCTATCGGAGGAATGAAATCACGAGTACCTCTAGGAGAAATGTCACTATGGGTTCTTCTCCACCAGGCTGAGTGCGAGTGGCCGGTGGAATCATTCTAGTCTCTTTACCTAAGCACAAGAATGTAATATACGAATTGTAATCTTCGACGCCTTACCATAATGAATTCATTCTCATTGCGTTTACATCCATGATAGCAAATAAAAACTTGCCGTAAAATTGTCACATGGTACTTCAATTATTGATTCGCGTAGCTATAGACGTATATTCTATGTTTAGAATTCATTTCTATACCTCTGTTTGGACAAACGTCGCCTAAACACGTCGTCTAGAATTTGTGATAGTTTGTGAGTTTGCACCACTGGCAGCCACGAATCTGCGAACGGGTACGGGTCCGAAAACTTCCAGCTTGTTACCCTTGCTCTCCCCTCCAACACAATTCAGCCTATGTGATCTGGTTCGCAGCTTCTCGTTACTAATCCCCTTTTCGCAGTAGGCTTAAGTGAAGCTAGACTGGCTCCAAAAACAATATACCTCTCCCCACCCTAGCTTCACCCCTACCTCCACCCAAAACATCGCCAAAAAAAAAGAGAAAGGTATGAAAAAAATGGCAAAAAAGCCTCCTACCAGGTTCAACAACCAGACGAACTGAGTTTTTGATTTTTTTTTCTCCAGTGTAGGAGGAGCCCCACCGACACGATTGTCTTACTTTCCCGTATGCGTATGCGCAACAGTTCGTGTGCGTGGCGCTTCTGGATTTGATCACACATTAACTGACTGGACCAGGCGGGTAGGTACCAGTTTTGGTGAGAGAAGACGTCGTATTTGCGTAGAAGTAGATATTCGCTTAAATTGCGGGTATTTCTCGTTGTGCGACCAATTAGATCACGACGCCCGTTATTCACCACAACGACTTGAGGTCTTTGAAGTACCGAACGTCTAGAGACGCTGGGCTCGAGATTATGACCGCAGATAGCGGATAATACGGGGAAGGCGTTGTTTCTAATTCTTGATGTTATCTTTTGCGGGGCTTGGAGCTAAGCGAGGGGCTTGCTTTAGTTGCCGAGGAAGCTACGGTTGACTGTAACACAAAGTGACTCAACAAGACTTGATATTGTCACCTTGCCGTCTCAACGAAGTTGAACTTCAGAACCACCTTCTCATACTGATCCTTTACTTTGCACTTCATGCGCCATACTGAAATCAGCGCAGCCACGACTCTGACTTGAATATCCCAACAACACGAAGTACAGCTTTGGCTTGGATTTTCCTACTACAAGACTCTCACTTTACCTCGGCGAATCGACATCGACGGTCAACTCTGAAGCTCTCTTGACTCTCAAATTTGGCAGCTTCGCGAACTCGACCGACAAGTTAACCAGATTGCAACTATGGCGGTAAGGACAATACACACTCATTTCTCATGGTTTCTCGTGTATTTGTACTCACAAATCCTAGGCTTCTTCCGTATCCATGACAGTACCTTATCAAGGTGAAGATGACGCCCACAGACAATTCCATCTCTTTTCCAAATTGCCCATCGAACTTCGCTTCGATATTTGGGAACTCTCAATCAAGCCACGGATGATTCCCACCGCATCAAAACCACCCCAATACCCTCACCTCTAAGAGCAAGGCGACACCGTGTGCCAGCCATACTTCAAGCTACTTGGGAGTCCCGAATGGTGGGCTTGAATCACTATGAGCTTGTTTTCAAACGACCGCTTTGGACATCAGCCGTATATTTCAATTTCGCCCTTGACATTCTATCCTTCAATAACATAATGCTTAATGTTGCGGGAGAAACTATGCCTGTTTTCTTTGGTCAAAAGGAGGATCCCGCTGTATTACCGGATGGACAACTACCAATTTATTCATTCAAGCAGTTGAATGAGGTATACCCCCAGTTACGCTTTCTAATGATTCCGAGACAGTGGTGGGGCTGTGGCACTGGTGGTGTGCCCTATCGCGAAGGCCTATTTGAATTCAAGAACCTTCGCCAGCTCAATATCCTATGCTTTGAGGGGGGGGGGTGTTCGGCTTCAGGGATTCGTTTTCATCCCAAGACTTTCATACCTGGAACGAAAAACAGACTGCATACCACAAAAGAAGGCTCATGCAGTGGAAACAAACGTCTCAGTCTACCACTCCACCGGTTCTTCGATCCATTAACGCTGATGTCCTCATCGGTTTATACATTAGCAACCCCGTACCTTGCGGATGTCACGTAACAAGTCCATCGCTGCCAGCATTGTCAGTTACAGGTGAGGTTGCAACCTCCCCGGATGGATACGGTAACTTGTTGGGAGGCGAATATGCAGTAGATTTTGTGATGCGGAAGGGATCAGCAAGAGGCACAGAGGGGCGAGAAAGGGTAAAGTTGGCTGAGCAGGAATACTTTCGTTTGGTAGCAAAGCCTTGCTGCTATACTTGATTGTCAGCTGTGCTGAGTCATTACCTGGAGCCCCTTTTGAGCATGTTCTATACAGGAAGATCTGCAAGGCCGAATGGCAATATGATGCTTGCCAACTTCTACAAAACTACTCATAGCCCTGGTGGCCAGAGTAATTCAGCTTGTTAGAAATCATTCGCTTCATTCCCTACTTTGTAACGTGCGTTAATTGTTATCATCAGGTTTCATTCTGTATACCCCCTTCGAAAACTATTGGGTTGAAAGGGTATTGGGTACTGAAGGTCATGGAGAATTGATTGCATTCTAAAAGGTAGCTATCTAAGGTGTTTATATAAAGAGTGTAAGGTTTAGGCAGACATGAAGCATTTAGGCAGCAGAGCTATAAGTGGATCAAATCAGGAAGTGGAGCAAAAGAGAAAGTAGACCCAGCACAACAAAATCCTATCACTTTCTATACCCTTTAAATACGGATTGAAATGAAACTCGGTAATACCATGGTCAACACACCAATCATTCACCTCTTTGTGACTGAAGGACTCATAATAATGTATCTCTCCAGGAATATTCCAATTTGCAGATAAAGCTGACAACCGAGACTGATTGAAATGATTTAGCAAGCTTTTTAAACGCTTCTTTCACCAGAACAATAGGATTTCAAAGATCTAGATTTAACGTTAAAAGCGTTCGTACTAGTTATAGTAGGCGAAGTATCTTGAGACATGTGATGGACGCTATCAAATAGGTATGTGTATTCGAAGTTCTCGAATACTTCAGCTAGTATGAAGAGATATTTTCTTTCTCACAGTATCACTTCCAGAACTTTGTTAAATTCTTTTCGGGACAATCACTTTTTTTATCGAATACTACTACTACTTTCTCACAAGACTATGATTATGGATGCCTTGTTTCGCTGATTCTGAGACCTGCATATGCGACCATACGTCAGTGTTTCAATTTTCAGATGGTCGAAGCAAGCCTTCTTCTGTTTCCTTTTTTCTTTTTTTCTTCTTTTTTGAGCTAGATTGGATACGCAGCACATCTCGAGCTTTCTCATTCTATTCAAGAGCCTTTGAACTATCCTTGGTTTCTTATCCAATTTAAAGAATGCAGGCCTCGTGGGTGGAGTATGTACATTCCTCCAATCATTATCCGCACCTTTCATATACACATTTGCACCCGACTTGCCGTACTAATCGTTGATTCTAGTATCGTCGGTTCGAGAACCTTCAAGTTCATTGTCGGTGAAGATATAGACGGTAAAGCTACTGAATTCGAAGTGTATGAGGAGGCGATTACCGGACTTTCTGAAAACCTTAGGGCTACGATGACGGGTTATATGGTTGAGGCAGTGGAAGGGCGTGTGGTTTGGAAGGATGTCAGCAAACAAACCTTCGAGCAATTCTGTCAGTTTGCAATGATGGGAGGCTATTCGATTCCGGAACCCGAGCGGAGGGAGGAGGCAGGGCCCGAGGACTTTCTCGACTCCGAAGTAGAAGCAGAGCCAGAGCCAGAGTATCCATCAGCCACGGATCTCGAACTCGTCGAGCGCATGAACAAAGATGAAGCCAATTCTTCGATCTCAGAGGAGGGCTCGAGAAAGAAACCTGCTTGCTTGCCTTGCTCGCTTTTTCCTTTATTGTCATATCCACTTATTGCACCGCGCTCGATATTTTCGGATACTTTCGAGCCTTTCGATCTTTTTCTCAAAAGTCGCAGCTACTCCAACGTCCTCCTTAGCCATGCCAATCTCTATATCTTGGCAGACTCTCGATTGATCGATGAACTCAAGGCTCTTGCATTACACAAACTACAAAAAAACAACCTTTTTTCGAGATCAAATTTTTTGTTCTAAATCACTTGCTCTCACTTGCTTGTACTAAACAAGCCGATTACCCTCCATGGAGACCCCTCTAAGGAGGCCTCCGGCCTTACTGTCGCCTCTGAAAAGAGGTCCGGATAGGGGAGGAGCACGCCCAATTCCCCCCCTCCCGAATATACAACAACACTTCGTCCTAGCAACTGCCAAAGCCC